GCCTTTAAACTGAAGGATTGCTGGGCTAGATCTACTTTTTGTTATCGTAGTAAAATATACATAAATTTACCATTTTAACCTTTTTAAAGTGTACAATTCAGTGGCATTCAGTACATTCACAAGGTGTGCAACCATCACCACTATCTAGTTCAGAACATTTTATCACCTAAAATCTATCTCGTAGCCAATAGCAGTCACACCTCCATTACCCCCATCTGGCAACCAGAATTTTGCTTTCTAATCACTTACCAAAGCAATTAACATTGCTTGGGCTAATACAGCTAATACTTCTAACTCACTGAGAAGAGCAAATTATTTCAATGACTCAAAAGGTCTTTTGTGTAAGGATTTTGAGCATTAACATCTGGATTCAAGTCACTACATCCCCATTTATTTTGTTAAACTTGGGCAGATCACAAAATCTGGGTCTCTCCATTCCCAATTTATGAAACAGAATTATTATACAGGCTTCCCACCCCCACAAGTGCTGATCATTCCTTGACCTTATTTTTTCTTCTTATAATAGAATTCATAAAAGCCAAAAGATTTAGATTATATTACTCAAAGACTAAAGACTCACTGATCAATTTTCAGTTCCTCCTAATGATTTAGGAAATAGTCTGCCTAATATTTAGAAAGAGGGCTTAGCCATTTTTTCTGTTGCTTCCCTTCTAAGCTCAAATTAACCTTCTGACTTTTTAAAACTAACCATCTGCCTGAACTTGTACTGTCTGGCAAACTATGTGCACTTGATAGATGCTGGAATAAATGACTGAAATATCCAGGCAAGGTGCGGTGGCTCAAGCCTATAATCCCAGGACTTTGGGAAGTGGAGGTGGGTGGATCACCTGAGGTCAGGAGTTTGATATTAGCCTTGACCAACAACATGGTGATACCCCGTCTCTACTAAAAATGCAAAATTACCCGGGGATGGTGGCACACATCTGTAATCCCAGCTACTCTGGAGGCTGAGGCAGGAGAATTGCCTGAACCCAGGAGGCGGAGGTTACAGTGAGCCGAGATTGCGCCATTGCACTCCAGCCTGGGTGACAAGAGCAAAACTCCATCTCAAAAAAAAAAAAAATTAAATGACCCTAGAGTAGATTTTAAATGTTGTCAACACAAAAAATATGTGAGGTAATAGATGTTAATTAGCTTGATTGTATACCCTATATATGTAATTTTTCCCATTACATTTTAGAAACTCTTAAAATAGCCATTAACAAATCTACACACAGTTCTTTCAGTCAGTGTCCAGAAATATTACATCTATATCTAAACTTTGTGGTATCTGACAGAAGAGTAAAAGGGCTGGGTACAGTCGCTCATGCCTGTAATCCCAGCACTTTGGGATGCTAAAGTGGGAGGATTATTTGAGGCCAAGAGTTAAAGACCAGTCAGGACAACACAGCAAGACCCCCAACATCGACAAAAAAAAAAAAAAAAAGCTTAAACATTAAATAAAAGACTTAAAGAAAAAATAAAGCCTACGGTTGGCAAAAAGACAAAGATTATTTCATGTTTAAAACAGGGCCTTCTGTCAATTATCAGTGCTTTCATTTGATTGTATTGTTTGTAGATTAAACTGCTAGTTAAAGATAAGATTTAGGCAAATAAAGACCCTTAAAATACACAGGTTGCTTTTCAAACTCAAAAGAGAAATCTGAAGATAGATGTATTGTGCACAAAATACCAAGATAGCCTATGCTCAAGATGGTTTCCACTGTGTATCAATTTTTCTCTACTAGTTTCCCTCGACAGCAAAATGGTTTTAACAATCTCAGGCCTAACCTGACACATGCAGACCACACCCCTCGAGAGCCTTCTTCATCCATTCAACAAATCCTAGGCATCATTCTCTGATCAACCTAGGTTACCCATTCAACACAGAATCAGATTATTACCTTATTTACAGCAATGATTCCCCATTCAATCTGATCTCCTTTTCTATGCTGAAATAAAATTCCTAGATAATATCTACCTATACACACACACAATTTGAAGAAAAACCAGATAAAACTCTAATTGTAATATAAGGGAGAAACAAAATTTATGATAAAATGTTGTAATATATAAATGCTCAGGCATGGCTACAATAGAACACAGAGATGAATGTGGCAGCTACAAATGAAAACTGACCCTGGTGTATTATAAGGGCAATTCCAATAATACTTTGATGATAAAATTTTCCAAAATGGCGAACAACTCTTGAAAGCATTCTAAACAAAACAACATTATTTCCTTGATTTATAAGGTAGTTGAACTGCTAGAAATTCAGTGTACTGCGTATTAAACCATACAAAAATATTTTGCATTACTATATTAAAAAATCAGACTCCAGGATTTGATCATTATAAACAGGTTTTTTACCTATTTGAATATCTGATAGGATACCACAAAGTCATGTAGGGCAAGGGATAATTTTTCCTGGTCCTACCCATCAAATTGTTTGCAGTGTCCCCTAAATACTGAAAAAACACTGACCCCTACAGACAGTCAAAATGCCCCTCTATGAGGACCTGCCTCCCTTATTAACAGGTACTGATCTAGAGGTGATGAGACTAAGACAATCAGGCTCACTCAAACCTTGATTACCGCTACAAAATAGAGGAGGGTAGAATGGAGGATGGAGAAAACAATAATATCCAACATTACTAGCTTCCTCATTTGTAAATTACAACTAAGAGAATTTCAAGTGTTCCCTTGAAGGGCTTTATATAAAAGTAGTAAAGCAAAGTCCATTATATTTGTTCAAGTTCAAAAAACATTAGAACTAAGATCCCTAGGAAGACAGTATTTAACTAAACAAAGTATTTTAGGTTTTAATCAACACTTGAATCCATTTGATGAAAATGCTAGGTTTTAGGTAAAAGCAATGGTATTATGGATTAAATATCCACTATTTAAAATCCCAAATATCCACAGATTTAATACCCCAAACAATTTCTTTGGTTTAAACAGGATTCATACTTGCACATTCACTTACTTTTTGGTTCACAATGAAAATCATCATGCGCAGAGCAGTAGTACTAGGAAGACAAAGGCCTGCAACTCTTCATATGTATCCTCAGTGGACTAAACATCTCTTGGACCAAACCACCATATAGAAATAGGAAGTTCATCACTGTTATCTTTCTTACAAGTACTTTGGGTAACCTTTAAGTGAAACAAAGCTCCTTGTGCTTTAGATTCCTAAGTATGGGAGAATGTTCTACACTCAAAACTTCTTTATTCCAGAAAGAATATCACTGATAGCTACTAAAAAGCAGTTCCCTAGCAACCTATCTGTAAAGAAAACAACTAACGCCATTTAGTCATTTTTCTCCCTCTTCTCAGTTCTGTTCAAGAAAATATAGTTTAGATAACCAAATCATTAGGATGTTTGCAAAGTATCATGTCAGCTGCAGTTGCAAATATTTTTATTTGGTGGGGTAACACCCTCAGCAGGAGAATAGAGGTTTTAAAAGGCAGCTCATATTCCATAATTCAGTTTGGCAGATTTATTGTCAAATATGTAGCAGGATTTGGATACAGAGATGGGATTTCATTATTTAAAAAAATAAACTCAAAGCTAGTATTATTTCTTTATAGCTCTTAAATCTGCTTTTTCTTGTTCTCTTAAAAGCATAAAGATAGCACAGAGAAGAATGTTGCCAAGGCTAAGGAAAGAGGGAGTATTCACAAAGCAAACTTCATTAACAGCAGTCATGGCTAAGTAAACTATCAAATACATTAGTGACAGCAGCAGTATAGGGCTTATGCACCAGCGCATGTATCTATCAGCAAGGTCCAACTTACCAACTAGTTTACTCCCAATGAATTCACTTATTTTGAGGAAGAGACAGCCTTACAGACAGAAATCATTTTCACAAGTCAAAACTAGTTAAAATCTAAATGAAATAAGCCCTGTCAGATTTATTTCTTAAAATCTTAGGCATTAAAAAGTCTGACAACCCACATTAATTTTCAGAGGAGTAGACAACTATTATATAAACCACAAGTTACCTTTCAAGATTAAGATACTTCAATTTTTCAACAGAGGTAGAAAAGTATTTATAAGGGGAAAAAATCTGTTTTATTATAAAGTTAGGTAAACTTAAGTATTATATTGGCAACAAATATACATACATAGCCCAGCATAGAACACAGTTCACACAGTTACCCTTGGCATAACTTACTGGGTGCTGTGATAAGGGTCTAAAATACTTCTAGATTAAATTTAATTTTTTCTATATTTTTAGAGGGCTAAATGCTGGTCCACTGCCATCAAAATGAGGGCAAATAAAAATGCGTGTTTAGTTTCCATTTAAACTTTCTATTCAACAGCTTTAAAATTTTAAACCCCTGCCTTATTTCTAAAAGGATTTTTTTGCACTAAAATTTAAAATAAAGTCTTTACAAAAGATCTAAATGGAACTTTCATTTGGAGATTTGTTTAAAAGTGTCAGGATTACAAAACTGCTATTGCCAACTATGGATATCACAGTTATGCTAGGTAGAGGATACATACTCTCCCTTCTTTTAAAGATGAAAACAAAATGGCCATATCGGTTTTTCTACTGTAAAAAAGCTGTGAACTTGATAGCAATTGTGCTATAGTCTCTTAATACCATTTTTGGTCCTTAAATCTTACTTGCCTATGTATAAGATGTATTATTTTAAAAAGAAAAAAAAAAATCCAGTGGGAGAAAGAATGTTTAATAAATGGTATTGAGACAAATAGCTATCTGTTTGGAATAAAAATAAAATTAGATCCTTAAATCTTGCACCATATAGAAAAATACATATTACTGATGGATCCAAGAGCAAAAAATAAAAATGTAAATATCCAAACTTCTACATACAATTTTAGGGGGTTCACAGACTCTCTGAAGCCCATCCATGGATCCCAGATTATTCTCTATAAGAGGAATTGTTAATTATAACCTCTATTAAAATCTCAATACCAAATACTGGATGTATTTAAGTCACATGCAACAAATGAAAATGAACACATTAACTCATTGTTATAACTTTATAAAATCTCCAAACTGGACTAGAAACAGAGGCATGTCAATACACATGGACAGTGACTTAAAAAAAAAATACACCAATTTAAATAAGTTTGAATGCATACTGTACAAGTGTATCCATGTCTGTTAGCCTTTCAGAAATATAAAATCAGTTAAATCTGTAGTACTTAAAATTCAACATATACAATGTTATTCTCAAACTTGATTAAAATAATAAATACAAGTTATGTTTGGGTAACTGCAACATAAACATCTAAACATATAATAGGAATTCTATATTAAAATGCAATACTATCACCTGCATTAATCTCTTACACAATGGAAAAATACTTGCAGATAATTAGCATTAAGAATGCAAATATATTTTTACTGTGGAAGAAAAAGTACAGTAATAAGGTTAGAAATCATATATCTGTATAATCTACAATGAGGCTGTAGATAGTCTATATTATGATATTCTATCTTAAAATGAAAACAATTCAATATTTAAGTTTACAACAAATTTACTCAAGGCAAAATATGTTTATTACAGAACAGGATCTTAAAGTAAGCAAGGCAACATGAGATCAACCATTTTAGATTATTTTTTAATGAAGTGTAGCTTTGAAATTGTAATAAAGGTGAACATAAATTCTAACATGCTCTTCTCTTCTTATAAATGGGATGATGTAGAAAAGCAAAGCTTCAATGTATAGGGATTGGAACCATCTGTAAAAAGTAAAAAAAAAAAGAGTTAATATTTCACTTTATCAAACTTTCAAGATCATCTTGAAGTAGCAGGGTAAATTATTTCACCTTTTTATAGTAAATATAAAGAGTATGGTGAATATAAAGCAGAAATATAAAGAAATAAAATTGGCCAGGCACGGTGGTTCACCTGAAGTCAGGAGTTTGAGACCAGCCTGGCTAAAGAAACAAAACCCTGTCTCTACTAAAAATACAAAAATTAGCCAGTGTGGTGGTGTGCACCTGTAGTCCCACCTATTCAGAGGGCTGATCGCTTGAACCTGGGAGGCAGAGGTCGTACCACTGCCCTCCAGCCTGGGCAACAGAGCAAAACTTCGCCTCAAAAAAAAAAAAGGAAGTAAAATTTCTATGTAAGGGGAAGATTTTTATTCATATTTATTAGAAGACAAGCTCATGAAGGCAGGGACTTTTTGTTCACTGCTACATTTCTATTGTTCTCAACACTGTCTGGCACTCAATTTTTTTAAGTGAATTAATCATTAAAGAATAAATAGTACCAGGATTAAGCAGCAAAGGCTCACATTGCAAACATACTGCCAGTGGTTAACTCTCTATAAAAGCCAACTGAAATACAGCTTGGGAAGTAGGACAACACTGATATGTATATGAAGACATCTATGATCCCAAAGGTTCCATGAAATTTAGTATTAAATCTCTGTTCATCAATGGCGCATATAAGTTTTGAAACTACTGGAAAAAAAAACTGGATAGAATTCACAAAAATATTTTCCATTTTATAAATTTTTCTTTCCTTTTTCAGATCTGGCATAAATAGCTCTTCCTCAATTGCATATATAAGAAATCAAAGCAAAGAACCGGTTTTGCTATCTTAATGTATCACGATTTTAGTATTAAAAGCTACAGTTCGTTAAAGAAAAAAATTCCTGTAAGAGAAAAAGCATATGCATCAACAAGTGTGTACAGGACACTGCAGAGGATAAAAACATACATAACTGTCTGTCTCCAAATAGTTTATAATCTATGCACTATCTTTAATGGATTTCATATAACTTTAAAGCTTTCTAAAACTTTCTCTCAAAAATTAGGCCTGACTCACGACTTAATAAAATTTCCTTTTTTTAAGCAAAATGAGAAGAAAGTCGACATCGTGACTTGTGCTATAATCCCAGCAACTTGGGAGGCTAAGGCCAGAGGATTGCTTGAGGCCAGGAGTTCAAGACCACCAGCCTGGGCAACACAGCAGAACCCCCAACATTTAAAAAAATTAAAAATTAAAAAAAATAGACATCAATAAACTGGTCATGGTGTTGCAAGGCTGTAGCCCCAGGCATTCAGGAGGCTGAGATAGAAGAATCACTTGAGTTCAGGGAAATTGAGGCTGCAGTGGGCTGTGACTGCGCCACTGCATTCCAGCCTAGGAAATGAGCAAGACCCTGCCTCAAAAGGAAAAATAAAAGTGGTTCTTACTTAACTTATTAAGAAATTTTCAAACATATGTAGATAGGTTTAGAATCCCCATATACCTATCACCCAGCTTCAATAATTGTCAATATTTGGCAGTCTTACTTTGTCTACCTACCTTTCACACATAGTTTTAAAAGCTAGAATATTTTAAAGCAAATTTCAGATGTTATTCCAACTACAAATCAGTGTTTTTTTTCTCTTTTTTAAACCATCATTTATCACCACACCCAATAAAGTAATTTTCCCCTATTATTAAAAAATAAAAAAATAAAGTTGTAATACCCTTTAGATCCAGGATCAAAGTAAATTACACAGCACAGTTTCAAAATGTAAACTTGAGTTTTCTTGCACGGTAAAAAAGAGGCCATTGTTACTATTAGGGAGACAACAAACACAGTGCCAATTTCACTTGACACAAATTAACACAATGGAATGCCATTTTTCATCTATCATAATGGTAAAAACTGAATGTCTGACAATACTCAATGTTGCTAAGAGTGTTGAGCAATGAGCCCTTTCATATATCAATGGTGGTAAACTGGTGCAACCTTTATAAAGACAATCTAGCAACATTCTACCTAATTAAACTTTTATGCCCTATACTAAACTGCCCTACAAATACACATTAGAAAGTGCAACTATTGGCTGGTCATGGTTGTTCACATCTGTAATCCTAGCACTTTGGGAGGCTGAGGCAGGAGAATCACTTGAGCTCAAGAGTTCAAGACCAGCCTGGGCAACATAGTGAGACCTTGTCTCAATTTTTTAAAAAAGTATAGTGTGGAAAAAAAAAAAAAAAGTTTTTTAAATAAAAAAGTACAACATAAACATATTTATTACAATAACAGAAAAAAACAAACAGAAGCGACCAGAATGTTCATCAGTAAGGAGATGGGTAAATAAGACAAACTGTGACACATCTCGACTATGAATAGCTATCCTGAAAATGCTTAAAAGCAGCAGCTTTGTTAGGGGTGAAGGACAGGGGAGGGATAGCATTAGGAGAAAAACCTAATGTAGATGATGGGGTGATGGATGCAGCCAACCACCATGGCATGTGTGTACCTATGCAACAAACCTGCATGTTATGCACATATACCCCAGAACTTAAAATACAATTAAAAAAAAAAAAGCAGCTTTGTACGTGCCAATATAGAAACAGCTCCAAGATAATGTTGAAACAGCAAGACATAGGAAAGTATGTACAAAAAAATCATTTTGTTTTAAGTTTTTATTTTATTTTTTTTTTATTTTGTTTCTTTGAGACGGAGTCTTGCTCTGTCACCCAGGCTGGAGTGCAACAGTATGATCTTGGCTCACTGCAACCTCCATCTCCCAGGTTCAAGTGATTCTCCTGCCTCAGTCTCCTGAGTAGCTGGAACTACAGGTGTGTGCCACCACACCTAGCTAATTTTTTTTTTTTGTATTTTTAGTAAAGACAGGGTTTTGCCACATTGGCCAGGCTGGTCTCGAACTCCAGATGATCTGCCCACCTCAGCCTTCCAAAGTGCTGGATTATAGGCATGAGCCACAGCACCTGGCCAAGTTTTTAAAAATATATAATTAAATATACACACCAGGGAATTAAAAAAAAGGATGAGACAAAAAGGTTAAAGGTCATAGAAAGCTTTAACTTTTCATTTCGTACTTTTATGTATTATCTGAGTTTTCTAACCATATGTATGCACTGCTTTCCTCTAAAATGATAAACAGAGAGATTGTAGAAGCTAGCTTGAAGGTGATTCCAACCTCCTGGTTCTCCCACTCTTGTATAGTTCCCTGCTACACTCACTGTACTATGGCTGGTCTCTGTGACCAAAAAAATTATAACCTTAAGTGATGGTGTGCTACTTCCAATGTTAAGTTATGAAAACATTGTTGATTCATCTCTTGGATCACTCACTCAGAGAGAAATCAGCTGCCATGAAAAGACCAATGTGGCTTAACATAGCCAGCACACAACCACATGAGTGAGCTTGGAGGTGGATCTTCTGGCTTCAATCAAGCCCTGAGGTTACTGCAGACTTAAGACAACAGTTTGACTGCAACTTCATTGGAGATCCTAAGCCCAAACCAGCCAGCTGAAATGTGCCCAGAATATTAACCCTCAGAAACAGTAAGGTAATAAATGTCTGCTGTTTTAAGATGCTAAATTTTATGGCAATTTGTTATACAGCAATAGATACACAGGAATTAATGTCCCTTTTTCTTTGTATTTATCTGTTTGGTTTTTTTTGAGATGGAGTCTCACTCTGTCGCCCAGGCTGGAGTGCAGTGGCACGATCTCTGCTCACTGCAACCTCCGCCTCCTGGGTTCAAGCGATTATCTTGCCTCAGCCTCCTGAGTGGCTGGGATTATAGACATGCACCACCACGTCTGGCTAATTTTTGTATTTTTAGTAGAGACGAGGTTTCACCATGTTGGCCAGGCTGGTCTTGAACCCCTGACCTCATGATCTGCCCGCCTTGGCCTCCCAGAGTGCTGGCATTACAGGTGTCAGCCAACGCACCTGGCCTTTCTCTGTATTTTTAAATAAACCTATTAAGTGTTATTTTTATATTACTGTGAATGTTTCTGTGAAGGTAACTCCCACTAAATAATTCTGACACAAATAAGCATTTTACTTACTTGGGACTCTTATCTGATAGTGATTCAGTGCCGTAAGAGCTTCTACTGCATCAGTTTTGCACTCCCATTCTAATAGCCCAGAAAGTGTTTTGGCTGAAGCTAAAACAAAACAAAGAAATACAAACTCAGTTGTTACGTGCTTATGACCAACTTCACCAGAAAATTTTAAAAGAGGGACCGTTCACTTACGTTTCGCATCAAACACTTTATATTTGATGAAGGTAAGAACTTCATGGTCATTACACAACTGTCAAAGAAGGTAAAACTTCATTAAAAATATAGCCAGAGTAATATCCCATTTTTATATAGAAAGTAAACTTTATGGCAGAATTTAAGTTTTGATTCTGGAATGAATGGATTAAATCAAGCACGTTTCTAGATTAATATCAAGCTGTATGAGAAATCAATTAAAAATAGTAAAATTCTATTAACTGTGTAAAGTAACTTAGTGCCGTACAATAAAACCAGATTTGTTAACTGAAATATATATTCTCAGAGTTGACCAGGATTCATTTAGTACCTATGGTAGGGAGTAGAGTTCCAGAAAATCATTTTTTATCTGAAGTATTTCTTATAGTTCCTACTTAGAATCTTCTAAGTTAGGGGAAAGGACTGAGATATATAAAATTTTGTTTTGGGTGAGATTTAAAGACATGATTCTTTAAATAACTTTCTTTATGCTGGAGTAAGACTACTTCATTCTAAATCCAACTCTCAAAAGGATTGAGCCATAAATCAGCAAAAACCAGTGAGGAATAGAGGCCAGAAAAGTATAATGGTCAAAGAATAAACTATCAAGCACTCAATAAATAAAATACTAGTAGTACCAAAAGCAAAAGAATGAGCAAGAAGACTTCAAAATGAAGATATATTTTAAAATAGGAAACAGTGACATTTTACACACATTTGTATTTCAATGCCTACCTTTGTGAAGGTCTCTTCTGTGACACACAATGGAACATTATAATAATGCAAAACACAGGAGGGTGGCTGGATTATATTCTTAGATGCTTGGCCAGCACTCGTAAAGCGATTATTTTTGCTCATTGCAAAATCTTTGTAGCTACTCGTACCATCCTCCAGCTCAAATATTTGACTTGGAACAACTGAATGTTGTTTAGACACGCTAAAGATTGAAAAGAAAAGACACACAAAAACACCTTGTTAGATAAAAAGCAAGTAATCTCAGAATGCTAATATATTTTGCTTGCATAAATCTTAACCAAAAAAGTCATATGTAGAGCTACTTAAATAGAGGATTTAGTTTAGGTTATAATCAATCACTCTTGTAGTTTAGGCATCAATTATATTAAAAAACTTTAACATAAAAACTGGCCCATTTTAACATGTTTTATCATCATAAGACTAAAAAGCAGGTACAGCTAAGCAAAATCCGAGTGACACGACCCCAACCCTTGTCTAAAATAACAATACTACAGCTGTTGTTTCAGATGTGCCCTCGTTTACATTACAATGTTCTCAGGTTGACATTACTGTCTCTAACAAAAAGGACAGGGATTTTAAAATATTTTTAAAAATTTATCACTTAAGATAGATAATTACCAAACATTAAGTCTTTTCCCAAATAATTTGACATTATTAAGGTGTGTGACAGCTCTTTCTACAGCATACTCATCACCCATTTCTACCAGTGCTGTACCAGGAATGGTCTTCATAAATTTTACCTGTAAACACAAAATCCCAAAAAGGTGACCATTTAATTCCCTTTTACAGTAACAGAATTTTTTAAAGACAGTATGACCTAAGTGGTTAAAGTAAAATACAGAAGATCACCTGGAATCTTAACTATATTCTGCCATGTTATAAGATACCCTTAACTCTTATCAAAATTCAACAGTTAAAAGGGAACACTATACTACCATTGTATAGCACATTGAAGGACAGCACAGGCTTACCCTAACTCTGTTATGTGTTAATTGTGCAATCTGAGGGCAATATACTTACCTTCTCTGAGCCATGGACTGTCTCTGAAAATACAAATAATAACAACTGGCAGGACTCATTAATATTTATTCTATCAACAAATATTTATTCAGTGTCTAATATATTTTGATAAGTACTGTGGTAGGTACTAGGGATTTAATGGTGAATGTTAACAGATGTTATCTTCTTGAATTTTATATTCTAGTAGTTAAGTCAGAAATTTAAAAGTAAACAAAATAGTAATTACAAACTATGTAGAATTCTGTTAATGCAATAAACAAGACAAGATGTTATACAAGAAATTATACAAAACAGCCTTGAGATAACATGGTCACAGGAAGGCTTGTGGAACCTAGGAGAATACAAGTTATTTCAGGACAGTTTGGGCAGATGCCATACTTATCCTCTTGTACTATTTCCAGTTTTAGAATATGATGCTATAAGAGTTAGAAGGTGTAAAAATCATTCAGCATAGTGCTTAGCCCTTGGGAAGTACCTAAGCAGCTATTAAGTACAGTAGTTCTCCCTTATCTTTGAGGGATAGATTCCAAGAACCTCAATGGATGCCTGAAACTGCAGACAATGTGTGGTGCAGTGGGTCACACCTGTAATCCCAGTACTTTGAGAGGCCAAGGTGAGATGCTTGTTTGAGCCTAGGAGCTTGAGATCAGCCCGGGCAACACAGTGAGACCCCATCTCTACAAAAAAATACAAAAATCAGCTGGACATGGTGGCACACACCTGCAGTCCCAGCTACTCAGGAGGCTGAGGCATGATTGCTTGTGCCCAAGAATTAGAGCCTGCAGTAATCTATGATTGTGCCACTGCACTCCAGCCTGCACAATAGAGCAAGACCTTGTCTCAAAACAAACAAGAAAACTGCAGATAGTACTAAAACAGAAGAAGAGAGGGAGGGAGGGAGGGAAGCACACAGAGAGATAGAGGTTAAGCATAGTATATACTATATATAAGCATAGTATATATACACTATGCTTTTTCCTATACATACATACCTATCACAAAGTTTAACTTATAAATTAAGCACAGTAATAAACAAAATAAAATAGAAAAATTATAATGATCCACTATATTCAAAATGATGTGAACATGCACGCGCTTGGTACTCTCTCTCACAGTATCTTACTTTACTATAGGCATCTCTTGCTGGAGCAGCTAACAGTGAGTCACTGAAAGCAAAACTGTGGATAAAGGGAGGACTCCTTTACCAATGGCAGAGATGACACCTTGAACGTATTTCCTTATCTATTTACCTCAAAAGAATATTGAGAATGTATTTACACAATAAATGCAATAAGGCATCTATTTCCATCACTTCAACTACCCATTTTAATAGGCTATACTACACCTGTACTTGAACAAAACTCAGTCGTAACAGGATTTTTCAGCTTTGTTTGAAATCTCTTGTCTTCTCATGTGCAAAATTCCTCTCCCTTGATTTAATCCAATGACTATCTACAAATCTAATAGTGACTAAGTATATAAGTTAAGTATGTAGTTCTTATATTGGTAAATCTCCAAAAGAAAGTTAGAAAAAATTAACTATATATAGATTTTTAAAGGATTATGATAGTTTGAGTTCAACATATCACAGCATATCATTTAAAATATTTTAAAAACCTATGAGATGTAGAGTTAGAGACTAAAATTAGTCAAATAACATACAGAAAATCTGTTTTATTAGAAAAAGTAATTTGAGTTTCTAAATCATATGAGACAATTAGTTCATAACAAAAAAGACAAAGATCTACTGAAGATGTTGATTAAATTGCCTGATTTTGTCTGCATATGTGAAAAGCACAAAAAGAAAATACTCTATAAAGAAAGTTAAAATATACATTAAAGCCCATTTAATTATCAAACGTGCAGTTTCCTAGACTTAACACTTGGATCTAAGATAGTGTCTGCTTGAAAATAATCTGAACTACTTCTCCAAATGTTACTAAACCTATCCCATGTATTCTTGGCCAATTACATAAGCAAAAGTATCCCATATGTTTTATTCCCCCAAACCAAATGCGGAGTTTCCTTTTTTTTTTTAACTGTGATCAAATGGTTGACAAAATTCTTGTTTCAGAATTCTGAAGAGTTGCTTCCTTAGATCAAGGAGGCTTTAGAATTAACGAACTAAGAACTAAATGTACCAACTTTTCAAGCCATGTTCCCCTCCCACACACAAGTGACTCACATGCTCTAAGTATTTATTGTTGCAAAGTACACTAAAATCACTTAAAACAATAGGACAAAAAACACACTACTGCAGTACTAAAACTCAAAGTAGCAAGTGTATCAAACAACTGGTAACTTAAGACTACCAGTCATTTTCCTAGTTAAATTTTCCATGATTCTTTCAAAAATGATTTATCTCATATTTGTGAGATATCAATAAATAAAATGTTACAGATTTGGGGAAACCACAGTTATTTGATAAAAAGTAAAGATAAAATTGTTAAAGGCCTTCAAAATATGTAAAACTCCGGACAGTTTTGGACACATTCTATCAAAGTGGGTCAGTTTGGAACACTGATTGAGCTAAATGAACCCTGGCATTTAGGAGACAAGTGTATAAATTCTAAAACTCTTTTGAAATTCATGACTTCTGGCTAGGCTCTGAAGCTTGTTTTTATATATACCTCCATGAAAGTAACCGCTCTTTCAACATGTTAAATGCTAAGAGCACCGAAACATAGACTTCATGGCTATCATACCATAGTAGTTGATTAAACTACTGCTTTAGACTTCTTTTTATATTGGTTATTTAAAAAATATTTGTAGTATCAACAACCTATTTACCAACAAAAAAACATTTTCCAGAGTTCTTATATAATGGATTTTTAGCATATGGGGGTCATTACTGAAAGAACATGGATGTTCCTGATGCAAGGAGAAGACACATATTTGCAGCCTTTTCAGAATTACTACTGAATACCCTAGCAAAAGAAACTAATACGAAGAGAAACTTACCTTCTCAATATTTCCATATAAGCAGAATAGGTTGAAGACTCTTGAACAATTCATTTTTAGTTGATGTAATCCACTAACCATTACAACTGAACCAGAGGGATTTCCTCCATGCATGTAAGAGGAAGAAGCCTGCGGTAATGGATAAGCAACAAGCTCAGGTGTATCTCGAGAGCCCATTCTGTAACGACTTGGTAAAGGCAATAATGGACCATGGGATCCTACAAAAATGATCAAAATAAATAAATAAACAAACATATACATACAGTTCTGTTTCTAAATACTTTATTAGATATACTGCACCACACAAAAAATAAACTTTTAACATTAGCTAAGTTTGATGTACAAACAAAACTCAAATGTATTAATATTTAAGTATAACCTGAGGAAAATTAATAAAATCTATATTCATTTGTACCAGATCCAATATATGTTGACCTATACCTGTATACACCAGGCTATAAGTTTACATTTTAAAAAAATGGTAGTTTAATAAAAAAGGCTATGGGGGGGTAAGAAAATGAATGTAAAATTTGGGGCCACTGTACATAAATTATATGTCAAATTTTAAAATAAACCTCCTGTCAATGTCTTTTGGAGGAGTAGTAATATTACATGTACAGTAAAATCAAGGAAGCTATCTCTATACACATACAACAAAAAACATCTTCAGTTCCACTGAAAAGTTGTTTCCTTGAATACATTCTACTATGTATTTTCAAGTTGGCTTATTTTTCCCCTAATTCTAATTTAGGAAATTAAAACCTAGATTTAGTTAATACCTCAACTACACACAGGTGTCTTATTACTCTACAACTTCCATTTTTTGAAACAATATCAAGAACCCAGAAGGAAATAATCCCTGAGTATCTAAAACTATTTTAGCAAACACACACACATACACACACACACACACACACACACACACACCCCTAAGTCTCTTACACTGAGAATCCTCATTAAGAATCAACTTGCTAACTTTAGTGTAGCTTTAAACAACTTTATCTGTTTTTTTCCCATCCACAACAGAAGTAACAAAAAATAAAGCTAGAGCATAGAATAAAAAGAAATGAGGGTGGAGAAACTGTGACACTAAAAGTAGGCATAGGGCACATTTTACAGCAGCAAGAAGAAAGGCAGAGGAACTCAAAAGCAGCAACTAAGATGGAGACATGCAGCTTAGAAACAGAAACCCTTCACATCTTAGGTGCTCCTAATTACAACAGAAGCATTGCCTGAGTTACATGCAAAGGTCCCCCTGATGTGCGAAACCAATCCAAAAGCGCAAGTCCGTTCGTTCTCCATGTCTCAAGAAGTAAAGAGTGTGTTATGCCACTGAGTTGTACTTGTATATAGGACTAAGAGACACCTGTCATCTATCTACTAAGTGAGTTACTAAGAACTACTAAATTTTGGTATTCATAACAAACTATTAGAGCTTATGATGGACTCAAATTTTCAGTATTCTAATCACAGCTGCCATTCATAACACAGTAACGTTACCATTAAGCACATGCAAACACAGTGTGAATTTCTGCAATTTTAGGGAGGAATACTTTATCAATGCATCATCATCAGTGTTTCCTTAAATTGGTCATGGATTTCAACTAATCCTTTTATGGGCAATTGGTAATTTAACAAAACAATAAATATGAGTGACTGGTTAGTAATTACGTATTTTGACTTCTAATTTAGCCTGTTATACATACACCAAGATTCAAATATCAATCATTCTTATTCCTACTACAAAAGTACATATATATAAGATGCTGCCTCCCCAACACCTACCATTCACTTGTACACTTCACTAATTTTTTTTCATGGGCAGTAGAAAGACACGTAGTAGATGGGCAGTGGAAACTTACTCTGCGTATAGCGGCTAAAGTTCAAAACCTTTGAGATCTACAGCCCTAACCAACAACCAAAATCAGTGCAAAAGAGTAACTCATGTTTGTAGTTATGGCTTTGAGCCAACATTATTAAATTATCTTATCTATACTATTTAGATTATTACCTATATTGTTTAAGATGAGAAAAATCATAAGTCTTTTAAAAGTTTTCTATATTAAATTGATAATACAAAAAGTTTGGGTGTTTAAAAAACACTAATGCTAGGGAGGGGTGGGGGAAAAAAAAAAAAACTAATGCTTCACATATTTAAAAAATTCACTTGTCCGGGCACAGTGGCTCATGCCTATAATCCCAGTTATTTGGGAGGCCACGGCAGGCGGATCACCTGAGGTCAGGAGTTCAAGACCAGCCTGGCCAGCATGATGAAACCCCATCTCTACTAAAAAAATACAAAAAATTAGTCTGGCACAGTGGTACCTGACTGTAATCCCAGCTACTCGGGAGGCTGAGGCAGGAGAATCACTTGAACCCAGGAGATGGAGGCTGTGTTGAGCCAAGATCGTGACACTGCACTCCAGTCTGGGCAACAGAGAAACACTCACTCTCACAGAAAAAAAGAAAAAAGAAAGTCACTTATGTGGGAAAATGCTACATAAATGGTCTATTAACATTTTGAAGGCATTTTCCATCTTTCAGGCTTTAAAATCTTTGGTCCACAAACCATATCCAAAGATGCTAGCAATTAAAAAACAAACTCTTCTTGAGCTTATAGCAAATAAATCTATATACCCATTTTTGCCATGGTTCAACAATGAAAGCTTCTACCAGTTCATTTTGTAAAAGTCTGGGCTTCCCAAATGAAATTTAAAGAATTGTGATGATTCACACAGACTTTATACTGCTATAATAAACCAATGAACAAATTTAATCTGACAGAATCCATAGGTCCTAAACCATAATTAACTTTTTCTATTCCCTCTTATAGATTGTCACATAGGAAAAAGAAAAGTCATCTATAATGTGATCCCAAAATGCAAGTAAACCTGTTTTGGTGAACTGCTGATCTGAAGGGATACAGTTGTGATTTGTAATATTTGTAAAAAGTCTCAGTATCACTAGCACACATCCCCATCTTTGCTTTCTCCCCTATTACTCATCTTATTTCTCTTCTCTGCCTCTCTTTATTCACTCTCTTTCCTCATATACCCCATTCTTCTTACTTCTCTAGAAAAGGAGAACGAATTAACCTCATAAATATTCTAATAGACATAGTTCAGAATGGCTACCTCCCTATACAATCCCACCACAACTATCAAAGAATTTCACAATAGGCTTTTCGGAAAGCATTCTTGTAGGGTATATGACATATTTTGTTTATGCAATTTTTCAGTAAAATATTTTATAAAGGAAGGCAGACTTATACTAAGAAAATAATCTGTTTCGGCCGGGCGCAGTGGCTCATGCCGATAATCCCAGCACTTTGGGAGGCCGAGGCGGGTGGATCACGAAGTCAAAAGATCGAGACCATCCTGGTCAACAAGGTGAAACCCCGTCTCTATTAAAAAGTACAAAAATTAGCTGGGCATGGTGGCGTGCGCCTGCAGTCCCAGCTACTCGGGAGGCAGAGGCAGGAGAATTGCTCTGAGCCGAGGTTGCGGTGAGCTGAGATCCTGCCATTGCACTCCAGCCTGGCTAACAACAGTGAAACTCCGTCTCAAAAAAAAAAAGAAAAGAAAATAATATGTTTCAACACAACTACAGTAGAGTTCCTTGTCCTTCATTCATTCTTTCACAGATTTTTCTAATCCCCTTTAACCAGTTTTTAGCCTTCAGCCGACAGCCATGACTACAACTATACTACAAACTTATAATAGCAAATTATTTGTAGCCTCCATTATGCAAAGTGCAACAGACTCTCAATAATTTTTTTTTTTTTTGAGAAGGAGTTTCGCTGTTGTTAGCCAGACTGGAGTGCAATGGCATGATCTCGGCTCACCGCAACCTCCGCCTCCTGGGTTCAAGCAATTCTCCTGCCTCTGCCTCCCAAGTAGCTGGGACTACAGGCACGCACCACCATGCCCAGCTAATTTTTGTATTTTTAGTAGAGACGGGGTTTCACCTTGTTGACCAGGATGGTCTTGATCTCTTGACCTCGTGACCACCCGCCTCGGCCTCCCAAAGTGCTGGGATTATAGGCATGAGCCACTGCACCCAGCTCTCAATAATTCTTTACTGCAGGATCAGAACTACCCATACAACCACGTTTAATATTTACTCTGTTACAAGGCCAGGCGCAGTGGCTCATGCCTGTAATCTTAACACTTTGGGAGCCCACTGTGGGCAGATCATGAGGTTAGGATATTGAGACCATCCTGGCCATGGTGAAACCCCATCTCTACTAAAATATAAAAAATTGGCCAGCCGTGGTGGCACATGCCTGTAGTCCCAGCTACTCAGGAGGCTGAGGCAGGGGAATTGCTTGAATCCGGGATACAGAGGTTACAGTGATCCCAGTTCATGCCACTGCACTCCGGCCTGTCCAAAGAGCAAGACTCTATCTCAAAACAAAAAAAATTTACTGTAACAGGAACAACTAAGAAAAACAATCAAGGTACACACTCACTAAACCAATTGTAGTAAGATTTTCATTCTATACCACACTTATTGTTTTGACAAAACAGAGATGGTCTCAATCTTTTCTACCTTATAGACTATGGAATCTTAAAGATGCGCACGCGCACATACATACATACATACACATACACATACACATACACACACACACACACACACACACACACACACACTACTAGAGTTCAAATGAAGCACACTAGAAAATAAGCTAAAACTTGGCCAGGCACAGTGACTCATGCCTGTAATCCCAGCACTTTGAGAGTCCGAGATGGATGGATCACAAAGTCAGGAGTTCAAGATCAGCCTGGCCAACACAGTGAAACCCCGCCTCTACTAAAAATGTAAAAATTAGCCAGGCATGGTGGCAGGTTATATCCCAGCTACTCAGGAGGTGGAGGTAGAATTGCTTGAACCCAGAAGGTGGAGGTTGCAGCGAACCGAGATTGTGCCACTGCACTTCAGCCTGGGTGACAGAGCAAGGCTCCATCTCAAGAAAAAAAAAAAAAGCTAAAACTCACAGCTAAGAATGGTCATTAAAGAAAATATGTAGGCAATTTGAAACATTTAAGACAATAGGCAATACGAGGGGCTTTTCAGTGACCAATCCCAAGACTATAATATAGCAATTTCTATTTTCTCCCACTTTTAATAGCATTGTACTTCAACTTTAAAGCACAGAAAAGGCCGGGCGCGGTGGCTCAAGCCTGTAATCCCAGCACTTTGGGAGGCCGAGGCTGGTGGATCATGAGGTCAAGAGATCGAGACCATCCTGGTTAACATGGTGAAACCCCATCTCTACTAAATATACAAAAAATTAGCTGGGCACGGTGGCACATGCCTGTAATCCCAGCTACTCAGGAGGCTGAGGCAGGAGAATTGCCTGAACCCAGGAGGCGGAGGTTGCAGTGAGCCGAGATCGCACCATTGCACTCCAGCCTGGGTAACAAGAGTGAAACTCCGTCTCAAAAAAAAAATAAAGCACAGAATAGGTGGATTCAGTAACTACCACTAAAAACTAAATAATATTTTAAAACAACTTACAGCTAGTTAAAAGTCTTATGAATAGCAATTCTCAACATCTACTTATAAGAACAACAGTTTGATACCTAATGTTACCTAACTTCTTCCTGGGGAAAAACATTATTCTAGGTTCCGTAATCTTATCAACATAGCAAACAGTAAAGGCTGAGAAGTTTTAAAAGAGGAGTAAGTATGAACAAATTTAACTGAACCCGAAGTACCAACTACAGAACTAAAAGGTGAGTCTAACCAGAAGCATGTTTCCTTTTTGACAAATACCCTATTCTTTCTGCCTTTTATTACTCAAAATTCCTCTGTTCCTAATTGCTGGAATGAAAGAAAATATATTTAGTGAACAATAAATACTTCTTTCTGGTCCTCTTACAAACCAGAACTCATTAAAAATCAAAACCACACCAAAATATAATGGCAAAAAAGTGTTCAATCCCCAATCAGTAGCTCATTTATCTCAAGGATTTTTTTTTAATCAATATCCTAAGAAAACAAATTTTGGACAACTCCTGGGAATACAGTATAAAGGACTGATCCCACATAAACCGAGTCAGAGGAGCAGGAAAAATACAGAGACAAGAAATGAGCCATGGTTCATCAGAAATGCAGAAAGCCAAACAGTTCATCTATACTACCTTCTTTCTGCCTTGACAACTTACCATAGCCATCATGTCTAAACGAAGAAGGGTGTTCTCCCAAAATGGCTTGTCTCTGGCGACCCTTTCCTCTATCTGACACAAAAGTAGAAACATGGTTTTAACAATTTTGACCCAAGTACATAACAGAGTTCTCAAATGGGAAACACCCATTCAAAACATCCATTACAACAATTCATAAAAGAAATGTGATTCCTGGTTAACTTTAAACATCCATTCATATCCAATTTAAATACAACACCAAGAGTGTAAAAAATAATTCTATCTAACAAATTCCACTTAACTTGAATATATCTTTTTGGCAAAGGCTAAATACAATCACACTTTCAAATTTAAGGAAGAATGGATACTTTTCAGAAAGTGAACGTACACAATGCTAGATTTGACATTGTACAGAAGTTTTTACCAACACGTCTTTAAAACAAGCTTTAAGTGCAGTACTTTTGAAAGACAGTACCTGAATCATACTATTAGCTTCAACAGCAACACATTTTCAAAGTGGGCTTCTTTCAAGAAGTTTCAGCATAAGCCAACAACAACCTGTATTACATGGTTTCACAATCAGTAAACACAGAGTATTTTATATGTATATGCACATATTTACAAACACCTACTGACTTGAGAGGTGAAAATGTTCACATCACTGGCTCGTATTATATCATGAATAAGTCATTGTCTATTGACCTTAACACCAGGCAGGACTATGAGCAACCCCCAAACTTTAAAGATGCCAAGATATAGCTAACCAAGGGGGCTACATTATTGGATGAAAATACTACAATACTCTAAAGGATAATTTTTATTCTAGCTACATTTTTAGAAAAGGCATGCCAATTTTCCCAAATCTAATTACAGACATCAAAAAAATTACTTACAGGTTTCTAAAATAGCATCTCCTATGTTGGTTAGTAAATTTTAAAAATCATTATATAATACTTTTAGAAAGTTTAGTGATCAAATTACAGAGCCTAATATGATTTTTAAAAATATGTATCTTAAGACTCTGGTCATTCTGATCCTTGAAAATTCAGAGAGGCTTTACATATATCCTTAGTCACCTAAACAAATGAGGTTTATGGGAGATGAGAAATACTTTAATTTTCACTTCAGTCTAGAGAAGTAGAGTTTTAATCACTATTCCAAGTTACTGTAGCATTGAAAGGGACTGAGGCCATATGGAAAAATTCTCTTTACATCATTTCTATCAGTTAGGACCATCTAGCTTCTGCTTACCCAGTAAGTCCTAAATTGTGAGAACATTAATTTTTATATTATATAGAAATTGGTCCTCTACCCATATTCTACCCCATTTGGGGCCTTACAAACTTAGTCTTTGTCTAAAACCTCTTCTAAATGTTCGACAAGTTATTATGACTTCCCATTCCCCCAGTCATTTCTTCTTCAATCTTAACATTCACAATTCCCTCTACTACATGGCTTCTAACATCTCTCATCATGTAAGTCTCACTCCTTTTGAGCCAATCTAGTCAACTAATCCATTCTGTCAATGTTCCTCTCCTTAAGCATACGCCATCAAACACTAATTCCTTATCTGACCTAGGAATGTTAAAACCAAAACAACCATAATGTCTTCATGACTCAGTTTTATTGATACGATTAACAGTGCACTTCATTATAAAGGAAAGAGAACTGGGTTGGGAATCAGATGATTCCAACTTTACCACTAGCTTGCTATAGTTGAAGAAACTCACAATTTTCATTCATTAAATGAAGGAGTCAGAGTAGATGATCTCCAAGGTATCTTTCAGCCAAACATTCTCATTAATAATTCACTTCATTTGAAGTATTAACTACCTAATATAAGGTCATGTAAAACAGAAGTGAGCAGAAAGTGAAACACTAAATATATAATTTCTAAATGGTGATAAGCTTTTCTAGAGTCAACTGATCTGATGGAAGCTGTGGACCTTCTCCCCCCAAAAATGCACCTATCTACAGGTTTTGCTTAAGATTTCTGGAGGGGTTGGTTCCCTGGAGTCCCGGTTAGGAAATCTTTACACTAAAATATAATTCGAGCTGAAAAGGACTTTGAAAAAAGTGAAGTTATGTTTTTAAAACAGTTATTTTTTTTGGTTGAAAAAATTTTATGAAGGTCTTTATTTGGGGATAGCAACCTAACAGTTTCAACAGCTATCAAATGGAGTGCAAGCTACGAGCTCTACAGAAACAAAATCATAAACTATTATGATCTTGCAAGACAAATATCTGTAAGAAATTAGAAAACAGAAACTTTTTTCCTTGAAAGCATAAACTAAAACTGTTTTACTTGCTTTAATTATATTTCACTATTTACTTATCTACCTTATACATTTCTAAACTTATTTCACTAGAAATGTATGAAGAACTAACCTAAGCTGGCTTTGTGTAAACTTTAGACCTTTTAAAAAATAGATGTAAACACTGTTAAAACAAGAAGCATTATCTATACATGTTTTAAGAGACCCTGAAAAAAATGCAACCAAAACTATTTCAAATGAAATTTTTTTAAAAAACAAAACAGAGTGGTCAATAACTGTAAACTGACAGAAGTGAGATATTTCTCATCAACCACTTGTCCTGTTGTTTGAGTGCTGAGGATTTGCTTTCTAATACTGACTTCAACTGCACCAACCCTAGGCCAAGCAGATTGCATAAGTAGTGAAAAACATGGGGTCTAGCAAAAGCTGCATTACAAAACAAACCTATTTGCAATTTCATGCATAAGGCAAGATGATTTCCTGGGAATTGAGTTAAAGAAGCCAATCACCTAAAAGTCCTAAATACGCAAACATGCAAAAGATCAGTCATCACACTGTCTTTTTCTTTTTGCTAGAGTACATGCACTATAGAGTACCCAATGCCCAAGATATTCTGTATGCCATAAAAATTTTTTCTAGTTACTTTTACAGACATATTCATCTTGAGTTTTTCCAACCTGTGGTTCAAACACGATATTGTAGTTAAGATGTAGCCAATACTGCAGCCCCCTTGTTTTTACAAGATCCACATTTTAATTTGTATATTCCAGAATTGCCACACAGTTAGTTGAACAATTTTATCAGTCAAATTTATGCTCATGAAATCTAGCATTTATAGGTGAAGATGCATCTCAAATGAAATGCTCTTCTTTTCAGATTTATCAAGTTTATATATATTCTACCTTGAACAGACATGGTTCACCTACACTTGAAATGTCAAAATTTCTAGTTACACAAATTGACATAAGTGATAATCTTAAATTGTTACAAAAAGTGACAACTTTATAAACAGCCACTTTACAAAAATCAAACCACACAGAAGAATGTCTTTCACATATAATGCACCTTTTCATTATGTTAGAATTTCTGTTCCATGTCCACAATTGAGGAAAAAAACCAAAAAATTTAAAAAGTAAACAAGTGCAGCAAGTGTGCACCTTTCTCATCCTTTTACTTTTACTATCTGTGTGGATTGGTTGAGCGTTATCAATTCCCAAGACCTATGAATAAACTGGTCCTGGTTATTTGTCAATTAACAATTTGAATCTAAGCTGCAAACAGTTACAGTAATGGGCGTTAAGATTTACAACATTGCAGATTAAGTCTAGTTTCCCTTAGTGGAAAGTCTTAAATTCTACAACTGAAACCTTAAGGGAAATCAGACCAATATATACATACAACTTGAGTAAATGGGCACAGTCTATCATGGTGTTCATCCCATGCAATTCTGAAGTACTCTTAAGTGTCCTCCTTTAAAAACTTGGGGTGATGGTGCATGCAGTATGCAGTCAAGGTGAATTGCGAGTCTGAGTTTTTCAGAGGGCTTTTTGCTGATGCCGATGTTGTGCATGATGAAGTGTAGAGTCAGCCTGCTGGTCCTCTATCCTTCTTAATGCCTCGTCCAGCTTGGGGGGAAAGTCCTTTCCATAGAGAAGCAGTGTGCAAGTCTGCAGTTTGTAAGGAATATTCTGAATCAGTTTCCTCTCCTCCAAAGAGAGAGAGCTGCTTGGAGAAATGCAAGTCCTTGAACTGCGGGCGTGCCTGAATGTGTGGGCTCCTTGTTGAACTAAATATAAATAGCTCAGAACATACCAGTAGGGGGCACTAATGTTCAAGATTATTTTCCAGCATTACATGGCCTCTTGGCAACAAAAGCATTCACCAAGGTTTTCATTTGAATTAACTAGCTCATCTCAGGAAAAAAAGAATCTAACTGTATATAAGAATTTGTCAGCAGATTAAGTACATTCTAAAATGCATAAAATACCTACCTCGTCTTCCCAAATATGGTTTAGTGTAGTCCCAACTGTCATTGTCATTCCTAATAACATTTAGACGAGTTGGCTGTTGAGATTGAAAATAAAGTAAGTTCAAATTGTATGTCCAAAGCATAAATATTTCTTTGGTAGGGTGTTGAAAAAAATATTTACCCGTGCATATTCAATTTTTAGTGTGCAACATCCAGCATATATATCGGCTCCATTGAGTGCTGCTTTAGCTTTCTGGGCACAAAGGACTGATTCAAACATAAGCACTATTAAGGAAATTTGGTTTAAAGTATCTGATAATCATTATTCACTCCCAAAGGACAGGAATGAAAATAATCAGAACTAGCACTTTTACTTCTGGAAATGTTTTACCAATTTCAGGATGAATTTTAGGAAAATTTATTTTTATGATCAAGGGTGGCTAGGTGCAGTGGCTCACACCTGTAACCCCAGCACTTTGGGAGGCCAAAGCGGGTGGATCACCTGAGGTCAGGAGTTCAAGGCCAGCCCAGCCAACATAGTGAAACCCTGTCTCTATCAAAAATACAAAAATCAGCCGGGCGTGGTGGCAGGTGCCTGTAATTCCAGCTACTCAGAGGCGGAGACAGGAGAATCGCTTGAACCTGAGAGGCGGAGGCTGCAGTGAGCTAAGATAGTGTCACTGCTCTCCAGCCTGGGCAAAAAAGATCGAAACACTATCTCAAACAACAACAACAAAAAATAGATCAAGGGTATCAAAGAAAACATAATACAACCAAACTATCTACCTTAATTATTTTAAGTCATCATTAGTACTTTATAAATTGGAAAGTAGAGGACATAATGGAGCATGGTCCCATTTCCTAGCAAAGGACAACTTGCAACCTTGAAACAGAAAAGATTTTACTCTTTAAGAACATTACAAAAAAAAAAATAATAATACAAAACAAATATATGATTTTTACATATTTTTGAGAAGGCAGAGTTTTATCATAATTTATCTAAAATTTTATCTTTTTTTAAAAACTTACTTAAGTCCATAATTAAAAAAAAATCAAATCACAAAGGTATATAAAATAAACAAACAAAAAACAAAAATACCTTGCCAGAAGTAAATATTGTTAAAAGAGTTTGCTGTATATCCCTACCTTTTCCTGTGCATACACATGCACACATAGGTTGGGGTTTTCTCTTTATTATTGTTATTTTTTTAAGATGAGTGTGTACTATCTATACTATTTTGTAACTTGCTCTTATTACTCAACATATGACAAATTTAACATAAAGAAGTAGCTCTTATGTAAACCATGACAATTTAAAAGGCTCAATAAAAAAAGGTAAAGATTTTACTGACTCTAAAGTTTTGGTACTTCCAAACTATTTTAAGAGGGAGTTAGAAACACTCATTTGGGATAAATTCCAAAATGGTACAAGTGTACATATCTTCAAACGGTATTAAGTAACAGCTTAAATAAAAAGGAAGTACTAGATTGCTTTCGGGTAGCAAGTTATTCTTATCATAAATAGTAAAATATCCTATGAGTACTGCAGTTTCATTTTTTAAATATAAGTAGATTTTTGTGAGAGAAGAAGGTAAACACCACTTGTCTAGAAATGGTTAAGCCAGAAAAAATAAGATCCATATGAATTACACATCAATAAAAATTTACAAATAAAGGATATTCAACCATTGCTTGTATCCCATTTCTCTTGAATATAACAATACGTTGCACTTTTCCGACAGGGTTGCATACAGTATATAAAACATCCTATGAAGGAAAAAGACAAGACTTTTTCATACTTTACATTTGGTAAAACATTAAAGCTATACTTTGTTTTACCTAAAAACCATCAACTGTCAAGATGTCACTTCTATTAATTATTAATGAAATTAATTTTTTAAATTACGACTTTTTTTTTTGAGACAGGGTCTCACACTGCTGCCCAGGCTAGAGTCAAGTGGCTCAATCACATTTCCCTACAGCCTTGACTTAGCAGGCTGAAATGATCCTCCCATCTCAGCCTCCCAAATACCTGAGACTTCAAGGCATGCACCACCATAAGTTAATTTTTCATTTTTTGTAGAGACAGAGTCTCACTATGTTGCCTATGCTGGTCTCAAACTCCTGAGCTCAAGGGATCCTACCACCTCAGTCTCCCAAAATACTAGGATTATAGGCGTGAGCCACCATGCCTGGCCTAAAATTATTACACTTTAATAAATCTTTAGTTGTTTCCTCACATACACAATATACTCCATTAAAGTTCCAATGGAACATTTGGAAAGTACTGTCATCTATTTTAACTCATAAATGAATTCTCAATTTTTATTTTCTTAACAGGTAACTAAAATAACTTGATAATATAAAATAAACCAAAACTATAATATTTTTTTCAAATGTGACACTGAAATGTTTAATATTCTAATCACTTGAATTACAGTAATAAATACATATTAAAAAATCATATTAGAACAACTCTGATATTCATTTTCCAAGGGACAATGGCTATAAAGAAAAGACCCAAGGAAGTTCATACAGTTATAGATGTCGCTAAACAAGACACCCGAGTCATCTAAGAAAGAATCTAAATATCTACTTAGGAGTAATTATTCAACTATCAAGAAATTTCTTGAGCACCTATAATTTACACAGCTACACTGTTACACACCAGAGATATAACAAAAAACAAATCAGAGTACCTACACTAGGTAAGTTATATGTTTCCCAACACCAAATATTGTAAACATATTAATATTATTAAGTCTGTAAATATTTAAAATAAATACAAAATGTCTAATTAAATCTAAAGAATATCTTATGCTTTCAGTTTATGTCCCAAGATCATATGCCCAGACTACATATAATACCAACTGAAATTTCCCTTACTGTGATGTTCTTCTACGCCTTATAAAAATCAAGTGTGTTACTAGCTTAATATGAAACAACATGTGAGTAGGAAGAAAACTGGTCCAGAAAACAAATCCTTTTTAAAAATTCTACCAATAACACTTATTAAAAGAGCAAAGAAGTAGGGAATTTAAAGTAAATCAAAGAAAGATTAACAAGCTATTGCAAAATAGTTCATAATGATATGTGCATCTTACTGTAACATGGGATTCTGTCATGACATAGTAGATGTTCTTATACATATGCTGGCATAGGCGTGAAAGATTTTTTTGAACTATTTCAAACAAGTCTATAATTCCTTATTATCAAAAATGGTACTGGTACTGACTATACATTAAAAATTTCAATGTGCCTATTTAATTATTATAACTGTGTTTATCTTTTTAGCTTCAGTGCTCAGCATTTTTTCTTTGTTCATTAAACTTGACAGCAAAAATTAAGATTAATTTTCATAATTAAAAAAACTATTTTCTAGTATCTAGATGGCAATGAAAAAACTACAGATCAGTCACTCTAGAGGTAAACTGCAAAATCGTTTTTAATTTCATCTGTCATACTAAAATACATACCACTGTAATTGGATAAAGTGGATTCTGAATTGAGAGCAGAAGAACTTTGTTGCCTCCTGATGGGTCATCGGTATTTCCTGGCCGAGTGATCCTTTTGCTTGTAGAATAGTTGAAAAAAGCCTGTTGACCAGCAATGTACACGGGTTCATCTGCAGCAAATGTCACACATTCTTTGGCACTATCTATGTTTTCAAATTCCACTAGAGCCTGTCGTTTAAATGGCATCATCATCACATAGCTGAAAAGGGAGGTAAGGAGGAAATACACAAACACAGCAAGTTCCATTAACATTATCTGTCCTCAATTAAGTAAAAACAAACGCAAACTTTAATAAAAATGTGTCGAATCTCACAGATTAGTATTCTTCACTACCTGTGTCCAATGTAAGTCAACTCCTAAATCATCCAAAGAATTGTGGTACACCAAGTAGATGGTACACATATGAAAGTTTATCTCTAATCTTGACAATTCTCCAAGCAATTAAATTTATCTACCTCATGACCTTCTCAAACACAATTTCCTGTTATTAGTTACTAACAACACAACCCAGTTTATTCTTTGGGGTGCTACTCCAAAGCAGTATTAGAAAATATCAGACACAAACCAATGGAGATAAAACTCAACAGAAGGTTGGCAGACAGAGTCCCTACTTAACAGCAGAAACTACTACCTCTCTTCAATTATTTTCTTGAATTAAAAAACCACATTAGTATCTAAGAACTGACTATACTTTTTAAAGAGATAAATATAAATGAAGCAACCACAGACTGACCAAAGTTCCAAAGTTGATACAAATAATCTCCTCCAAAACATTTTAAATATCCATGAAAACGATTCATTAGAATATGGCAATCATGGTTGTCTACGAAAAGATGTTTATTTTTCATAGTATACTCTTTACTAGAGAAACAAAGCAACCAAAATAATAATAATAATAATAACCCCAAAACATAATACAGTACATTCTTTTTGGAGGAATATATTTTAATACAGGAAATGAGGAATAAAAAAGTGAAGGAAGGGTAGAAGACAGAAATCACAGCACATGGATCACAATGGGGTAAACATGGCCTCTATTCACAGGAATGAGAATCTTAAAAATGCTTTAAAATACAATTAAGTGTTTTTTATAATAGCAGAAGGTCAAAGAAATGTTGGGGCAGGTACTCAGTGATAACACTGCTTCTTAACCAGGCATCCAGGACCTACTGCTACACTACGGGAACTGACAAATGATACAGTATTAATAAGAAACAGACCACTGTACAGCCTGGCAAACTATTATTATAATAAATGTCAGCTTCCTCATTTACAAAACTTAAGAGAATTGTCAAGATTAGAGTTACTACATACGAACTACTAAGCAGATTGCCTTGCACATTGTAGACCCTCAATAAGAGGTAACTATTACTGTACTTTTTTTTTTTTTTTTTACCGATCTTGCCTCATTCGTCTTTATATCCTAAGAGGCTAGAAACAGAGCCTGGCACATACTTGTTAGTCTAGGGGGAATTGTTATTTTTCCCCACCCATATCACTCAAAATTAAAGAAGTACAAAAACAAGGCCTTGGATTTAAAGATTTACCAACTAAAAGTACAAAATATAAATCCCTAGAACATGCCTTTTAGAAACACAGTTGCTTCATTGAAGCTCTAAAGTCTTACATATGGAAAATAGAAAACCATGAAATCAGGTCTATGCTAAAGAAATTCAAGAGGAGAACATCTTTCATAAAACAGAAAAGGTGGTTTAATATCTAAATGTATTACTAAGTTTACATTATTATTATGCTAATAATGCCATATGGAAACAAAATTATAAAGGTATTGATATGGTTTGGCTGTGTCATCATCCAAACCACATGTTGAATTGTGATCACCAGTGTAGGAGGAGGGGCCTAGTGGGAGGTGACTGGCTCATGGGGGTAGTTTCTAATGGCTTAGCGCCATACCCCTAGTGTTGTCTCCTGATAGACTTCTCACAAGATATGGTTGTTTGACAGTGTGTGGCACCTTCCCCTTTGTGTACATGTGCTCTTTCTCTCCTTCTCTATTTTTCTCTCTCTTCTGCTGGCCATGTAAAGATGTGCCTGCTTTCCCTTCACCTTTTACCATGATTCTAAGAGTTCTGGGGCCACCCCAGAAGCAGAAGCCTGATTAGCCTGCAGAACGGTGAGCCAATTAAATCTCTTTATAAATTTCCTACTCTCAAGTATGTCTTTATAGCAGTGTAAGAACAGACTGATACAGGTACAGAAGTAAATTATTCATTGGCCAGTTATACACTTAGTAAATTTGCTTTCTGGAACTAAAATAAGAAGTGAGCTAAAACCACAAACCTAAAAGTGAAGGTTGCCCAGAAAAGTAGCATCAATAAAGATAAATAAAAAATTAAAATGTTTTATTTTCTTTTTTATTGCCAATATTCAATATAAACAAACTAAAATGTTACAGACATTTTAGCACATGCTTAAATTGTCTGGTACACAGTTTTTTAAAAAATCTTTAAAATGCACTCATATGAAACCAGGTGTAATGGCTTGTGCCTATAGTCCCAGCTACTCGGGAGGTTGAAGTGGGAAGATTGGTTGAGCCTTCAAAAAAAAAGAAAAAAGGTATTAGTATCAGAAAGTGAGAGACCAAAGAGAGAAAAGGCTAAAGAAACAAAAAAGCTAAGGAACGTGGTAGGATGAAGCCTTTTAACTCCATCAATTTAAAAAACTTCACTGGCCAGGTACAGTGGCTCACACTTGTAATCCCAGCACTTTGGGAGGCAGAGGTGGGCGGATCACCTGAGTCAGGAGTTTGAGACCAGCCTGACCAACACGGTGAAACCCTGTCTCTATCATAAATACAATAATCAACCAGGCAAGGTGGTGGGTGCCTGTAATCCCAGCTACTCAGGAGGCTGAGTCAGGAGAATCATTTGAACCCAGGAAACAGAGGTTGGCAGTGGGCCGAGATTGAGCCACTGTACTCCAGCCTGGGTGACAGAGCAAGATTCCATCTTCAAAAAAAAAAAATTTCTAAATAAAAACATAGGAGAAGGCAATAGATTGAGTGCACAAACTGGGTCCCAAATGTTATATTGTAAAACTAATCATTTCCTAATATATCCTTTAATGGGAGAGAAGGGGGAAAAGAAATAAAACATGTATTTTAAATATTCTTTTAATTATAATGCATAAATACAGTAAAGAATAGAAAAATAAAAAAGTTAAAAAACACAAGCAATTTTATCCTGACACAACACAATCATTCTTAATGTTATATTTTCTTCCGAGCTTCCTTCCTATGTATCTAGCTTTTTGGATATAAGTTTACTACATATTGAACTTGGTGATTCACCTTTTTAATATAAGCAGTTTCTATACTGTTTATAAACCCACGCATTCCATTAAATAATTACATAAAGAAACAAATAGGGAAAGCTTACAAATTATAACATTTTTAAAGCAAAATTTCTATTGGAGGCTGTTCAATGTTCTTTCAGCCTTAATAGCAGCCACCTCTTATGCAAGTTCATTTCATACAACTGAAACACCTATTATACTTATTTATGCCAATTAAGCTCTTAATTACACACTTTGTTTCAATTATTTCAGACTTTTCTAACCACATAACTACCAATCTTGAGGGCAAAATGATGCAAATTAACTGAATGACATTCATATAAGAAAGACTTTACCATAGATTAAAAGTATAAAATAACCCAGAGTCTAAAAATGCAAAGGCCACCCGGGAGTAATTCAAATTACTCACTAATTTAAAATAGTTCTATTTCTTTAATACCCAACCTTCAGGTCATGGTACTAATTAACATCAAAATAGTTAATGTTTCCTAAAGTTTCCATTTGTATTTGCTCATCAACTTGTTTTCTGACATCTGCCTAATAACTTTTTTGTTTTTGAGAGGGAGTCTTGCTGTCACCCAAGCTGGAGTGCCATGGCATGATCTCAGCTCACTGCAACGTCCACCTCCCAGTTTCAAATGATTCTCCTGCCTCAGCCTCCCGAGTAGAGGAGCTGGGATTACAGGCATGGGCCATCACGCCTGGCTAAATTTTGTATTTTTAGTAGGATGGGGATTCACCATGTTGGGTCAGGCTGGTCTCAAACTCCTGATCTTGTGATCCGCCTGCCTCAGCCTCCCAAAGCACTGGGATTACAAGCATGAGCCACTGCACCCGGCCTAAGAAAACAACTTTTAAAACTCTAAATACACAAGAATAGAGGAAAAATAAACCAGAGACATCTACCTCTTTATAATTCCACAGGACAATGTGCCACTTATATAATAATTAGAAGGTCCTTACAGAGACTGGGGTTAGTCTACTGCCAACAGCAAGACTAATGGTCTAAGGAGTCATTTCAATATGTAACTCTCCATGCAGACTTAATCCCAATTTCCACTCCAAATGACTGAGAATTGATAGTCAACTTAGTGATACACTTTCAACATATGGACTTTACTATGTCCATGTGGATTCTCAATTTGTAGATCCAAGGTTAATGTATCTTTGCCAAGTCATTTACCTCTCGATGATTTCACCAAAGAAAATAAAATTATACCATGATAGAAGGTATCACCTAATACTACTATTCCTTTGAAGAAATAATCCATTTCTGCTGGATACCCTCTGCTGGACATCTCTGATCAGTACTTCAGTATCTATTTATGTATTATCCTCTCAATACTCACAAACTTAACATGAATTTTTGTAAAATTGAAGCAATAAGGGTATCTCAAAAAATACATTGAAATTTCTCTTCTATTTATATATTTCAACTTAATCTGTGTCTTTGATAGCTGTAACAAAAACTCTAAATACATTCATCAAGACAAAATAATAAAGTCAACTCTAGATTATCTATACTAATAAAAGAACAACAGCCAGGCATACTCCAAAAATAATTTAGAATTTTTGAGTGTCTATTTTTGGCAGCAGATTCACTTTTCTAATTATGTTTTCACTTAAGTTAATATTCTTAAGCATATACCAGTTGTGGGAAGAGACAGGGGGAACGTGAGAATATGAGGCACAAAAGTAGACAAACTTGGATAAAATATTGCTCATGATTCGCACTAATAACTCATAGCACCTATAATCCCAGCACTTTCAGAGGCTGAAGTAGGAGGATAGCTTGAGCACAAGACAGCAGCTTGGGCAATGTTGAGAGACCCCAATCTCTACAAAAAAAAGTTTTAAAATTACCCAGTCATGGTGGCATGTATCTGCAGTCCTAGCTATTAGGGAGGATGAAATGGAAGGATCACCTGGGCTCAGGAGGTAGAGGCTGCAGTGAGCCATCAATGTGCCACTACACTCCAACTTGGGCAACAGAGCAAGACCCTATCTTAAAAAATAACTCGGGCCAGGCGCGGTGGCTCAAGCCTGTAATCCCAGCACTTTGGGAGGCCGAGGTGGGTGGATCACGAGGTCAACAGTTCGAGACCATCCTGGTCAACATGGTGAAACCCCGTCTCTACTAAGAATACAAAAAATTATCTGGGCACAGTGGCGCGTGCCTGTAATCCCAGCTACTCAGGAGGCTGAGGCAGGAGAATTGCCTGAACCCAAGAGGTGGAGGTTGCGGTGAGCCGAGATCACGCCATTGCACTCCAGCCTGGGTAACAAGAGCGAAACTCTGTCTCAAAAAAAAATAAATAAATAAAAATAAGAAGAACTCATAGCAATATGAACCTAAACAAATAATGCCTACTCTTAATCTACTTACTTTTAGTTGTTGATTAATTCCTAAATATCCCAAAGAACAACAAAAAAATCAATAGTTTCAAGCATCACTACTTGAAACTCTGAAGATGAAGAGTGTAATCAACTCACTAATTTAAAGAGTATTTGAATAGGACTCAGGGACTCATTTGAAAATCAGATGAAAAGTGTACATAATTTCTTTATACAAGTTTGCTGGGGAGTGAGAAGTGATCATAGCTCCACAAAAATACATCCATGCATCACCCAGGAAGGTTAAAAATAACAAGCTTAAAGCATTCCAAAGAAATACAGTCATAGGCAAACAACAGATACTACGTTGTTTATGTAATACGAACAATATTTACTATGCTAAACATCAAGGCTTGTTCTACCACACTGTTTTCAATCTGCATGAAGTTCCTATCGTCCTTACCATATTGTCCCAAATTTTTCCAGTGCTTCCACAAGGTCTGCTTCCACCACAGATTCACAGAGTCCTCGAACATGGACGACGGGTGAAACAGAAACTTTATGATGACTTCCACCTGCCTCCTAGCAAGAGAAAATAATTTCTAGTTAAAAAATTTTTAAGTCTAGGCCAGACACAGTGGCTCACACCTGTAATCCCAGCACTTTGGGAAGCCGAGGCAGGTGGATCACTTGAAGTCAGGAGTTCAAGATCAGTCTGGCCAACATGGTGAAACCCCGTCTCTACTAAAAATACAAAAATTAGCCAAGTGTGGTGGTGCATGCCTGTAAACCCAGCTACTTGGGAGGCTGAGTTGGGAGAATTGCTTGAACCCAGGAGATGGAGGTCGCAGTGAGCCAGTATCGTGCCATTGCACTCCAGCCTGGGAAACAGAGAGAAACTCTGTCTCCTAATACATAAATAAATAAATAAATATGTCTAAGTTGAATTGCATCTTTTAGTAAATTCAAATCTGCTTAAAAAGTAAACATTTTTAAAATCCCAAACCAAATTGCAATTCACAAGTTAGCAAAAGGATATGAGAATAATCAATTAAATGTTTGTATAAAAAATTATTTCTGAAAAGGGAGCATTCTACCTCAGTAAGTACAAAGATGTTACTTAATAACATTTCAACTTCAAGAAAATCCCAGAAAGAAAAGTTAGCAGATACATAGGGCATGCTACAACTGGAAGTATATTTGATACTCATTATTTCAGTGTTACCTCCATAAAATCAAAATCTCAACTAGTCCAAATGAACAAAAAGTTCCAATTAAAAATTCCTCCTCGACATGAAGATTATATACTTTTGTCTTTTGTTCTTGTTTAATTGGTTATCTAGTCCCACTATAACTTGAAGTCACTCACTTAGCAGTATAGTACACATGACAACTTAAAATTTATACAAGGGTACCATCTTTGCAAGGCAGGAGGATTAACAAGAACTACTCAAAAAATGCAAGTCCTTCTGGGCATCTATGGAATATTGTGTATCTTCAAGTATGCCAGGCAGGATGTTTCAAACCTAAGAATACGGTCTTAAAGTTTATTTTAAAATGTAGTAACTGTAAGAATTACTTTGAAAGTGCAAATAGCTTTCATTTACTTATTCAAGTTCCATTAAGACAAAGATATGTATTTACAAATGCCATCAGGCACTTCTGTTGCATCTTAATTTCAGAAATGACTTCCACCAAGTACATCTTTGTCTATACAAAAAGAAATTGATTCAACTTTCTTCCTCCTATAAGCAGACTAATCTGAAGCACTATTTTGCCATTAAAATTTAAGCTTGTTTTAAGAAAATTAAATCTCTTTAAGGCTATTTTAAATGACTCGCCAGTTTTTCTTTATTATAAAGACTGTTAGGAAAATATAACAAATGGAGTGCCCTGCCAATAAAAAAGTATGTCACAGCTGAAAGAAAGAAACTGATTTAAATATATAAAGTAACCAAAGAACTACTCAGGATATTGTCAAATCTAAAAAACAAATTCAGTCCATGATATTTATTCAAATTGCTATGCTCAATCTTTCCTATGGTTAAACAGGTATCCTTTACATGCCACTAAGTTTGAAATGAATCATTCTGACTCTACCCTAAGTAAATCAACATTTTCTTAAGCAACATTAACAATGAGATTCTGTCTAGATGAAATTAAACAATCAAATGTGCATATCATCATTACATTCTTAAATGTAACTAGAAATGAATAAGCTGGGTGAGCTCTAAATATTACCTAAATGCCAAATTTAGAGCATGTATTTACTCTCAAAATAATTAGACAATAATAAACTATAAGATAAAATGAGGAGAATCATTTCAGTCAATTCTTAGAAATAAGATGGCAAAAAATTTAGAGCATGTATTTACTCTCAAAATAATTAGACAATAATAAACTGTAAGATAAAATGAGGAGAATCATTTCAGTCAATTCTTAGAAATCAGATGGCAAAGGTAAAATAAAAGGGCAACAGAAAGCTGTATTGGCCTGGACTCTTCAAAGTTTCAAAAAACAGTGGAGGGAAGATTCTATATGGAGAGTAAGAGACACAACAGGCCAGGCACGGTGGCTCACACCTGTAATCCCAGCACTTTGGGAGGCCAAGATGGGCGGATCACGAGGTCGAGATTGAGACCAGCCTGACCAACATGGTGAAATCCTGTCTCTACTAAAAATACAAAAATTAGCTGGGCATGGTGGCGCACGTCTATAGTCCCAGCTACTCGGGAGGCTGAGGCAGGAGAATTGCTTAAACCTGGGAGGCGGAGGTTGCAGTGAGCCAAGATTGTGCCACAGCACTCCAGCCTGGCGCCTGGCGACAAAACAAGAGTCTATCTCCAAAAAAAAAAAAAAGAGAGAGAGAGAGAGAGAGAGAGAGAGAGAGAGAGACACAACAACCAAATGCTGGGCTGAGAGCAGTGGCTCACACCTGTAATCCCAGCACTTAGGGAGGCTGAGGCAGGTGGATAATGAAGTCAGGAATTCAAGACCAGCCTGGCCAAGATGGTGAAACCCTGTCTCTACTAAAAATACAAAAATTAGCTGGGCATGGTGTCAGGTGCCTATAATCCCAGCTACTCAGGAGGCTGAGGCAGAAAACTGCTTGAACCTGGGAGGTAGAGGGTGCAGTGAGCTGAGATTGCGCCACTGTACCCCAGCCTGGTCAACAGAGCAAGACTCTGTCTCAAATTAAAAAAAACAACAACAACAAAAACACAACCAAATGCATATGTGAGCTTTTACTGTATAACAGTTAAAGCTGCTATCAGACACATATTAAGAACAACTAGAGAAATCTGAATACAGACAGGATATTAGGTTAACACAATAGAATTAATTATCATCTTTAGTAAAAAATAGTGAAAATAGTAATAGTTACATAAAAGAACATCCTTATTCTTAGGAACATTGTGATATTTAGGCATGAGATGTCATAATGTTTGAAATTTACTTTCAAATAATTTAGAGGAAAAAAGTATGTAAATAAATATACATATACAGACATAGAGATAAAACACCACACAGCAAAAAGTTAAAAACTGCTGAATCTAAATGAAGGATATACGTAAGTTGAACATTTTATATAATAAAAAGTTGCAAAATTATTTTGTAATATTTAAAGGCTACAAAAAGGTATTATTATAAATACCCATGGCTGGGCACAGTGGCTCATGTCTGTAATCCCAGCACTCTGGGAGGCCAAGGCAGACAGATCCCCTGAGGTCAGGAGTTTGAGATCAGCCTGGCCAACATGGCAAAACCCCATTTCTACTAAAAATACAAAAATGAGCCGGGGGTGGTAGTCTGTAGCTACCCAGGAGGCCAAGTGTGCAGCAAACTAAGCTCATGCCATTGCACTCCAGCCTGGGCAACAGAGCCTCCGTCTCAAAAAAAAAAAAAAAAAAAAACCATGAACTCATCATCCAATTTAATAAATAAAACATAATGGCTGCGTGTGGTAGTTCACGCCTGTAATCCTAGCACTCTGAGAGGCAGAGGTCGGCAGATAACTTGAGCTCAGGAATTCTAGACCAGCCTGGGCTATACGATATAACCCCATCTCTAGCAAAAATACCCAAAATTAGCTGGGCATGGTGGATACACCTGTAGTCCCAGCCTTGGGAGGCTGAGGTGAAAGGATTGCTTGAAACTGGGAGGTGGAGGTTACAGCAAGCTGAGATTGTGTCACTACAGCCCGGGTGACAGAGTAAGACCCTGTCTAATAAAAAAACAAAACAAAACAATAAACTGATCACATCTCCTCTTACTACCCCCCACTTCGCATTATAGGTACCCACTATCATGAATGTAGTGCTAAAAAAAGACTGTTTTTCAAATTGGTCCTCTTACAAAGAAATGGATTATACAATCGTTAAATAACTCAAAAAATCTCATTTTAATACATTATTTAATTATATTTCTAAATGGAATAAAACTGAAACCACAGTCATCACTTAAAAGCTGGACGATGTTAAATATCATCAATATGGTAATTAGGGGAAGATGCGATTATCTAAACCTCAAGGCGGAAAATATACACCTCACCCACCTTGTTTTTCCCTTATTCACACTCAATGAATCTGCCATTCATAAGTTTACCTACCTTGATATTTGTTTTTAAATTATATCCCCTTTTCTTTAACATACAATTTTCTCATTCTTTCTGTAGTGTTTTACTTTTTAAAAACCTACAGCTGTTTCCAAATATAAAATGAATATATCAAAGGTATCTTTTCAAACTATTTGTCTACCATTCTCTCCAGAGCTTCATTTTCCTCCCTTTTTCTCCCAAATACTCATATTTTTCTTAAATCACTTATTTCTCAACCTATACTATATACTGATGACAAGAAATCTGGTGTCATGTGTAGACACTTTCTTTTTTGGCATGGAGTCTCGCTCTGTTGTCCAGGCTGAAGTGCAGTGGCGCAAGGGCTCACTGCAACCTCTGCCTCCCGAGTCAAGTGATTCTCATGCCTCAGCCTCCCAAGTAGCTGGGACCACAGGAGCACACCACCACACTCGGCTAATTTTTGTGGTTTTAGTAGATAGGGTTTCACCATTTTGGCCAAGCTGGTCTTGAACTTCTGGCCTCAAGTGATCCGCCAGCCTCAGCCTCCCAAACTGCTGGGCTTACAGGCGTGAGCTATCTCGCCTGAACTGTAGAGATTATTTTGCCTATTCTAAAATAACCTCTTGTAAGCATCATACTATGAATCGGATTCCTAAACTCGTGAATAAATCAGTCTTGTTTTTGCCTCCCATCAATATATTAATATTGTGGTCACGTCTTCTCCAGCTTAAGGAGTCCTTTTCTAATCCTTTCTCATACAGGAGCCCAAGTCCTTTCCATTTCAGATGATTAGTTACCTAGGCTCCCTCCTTTCTGTATCTATTGGTTACCAGAGTAGAAACAATATCCCAGCTGCACATCCAGAAAAAGAAGGCATGCCTGCAACATACATGCAGTTTACAAACTTGCATAATCTCTTCTCTAGGTAAACTGGGTTAACTGTAACGGTGGCATTATATGGTCGCCACTACAGGCTCTAGACCAGTCTAATTACAGCCATTGC